CCTCCACCTTGCAGCAGTCCTCCTGACTTAGCCTCTGGAATGCTGCAGCCTCATGTATGTGCCACCATATCCCGTATAACATCTTCATTTTCAAGCAGGCACAGTCAACAACGGCGGCAACAACAACAACCATCACAACGGTGCTTTCCTTTGAGTTATACTTAGTTTCAAAATACATTATTTTTATTGAGGAAAAATGCTTCTTACGGAGCTTCCAAACTCCTGGCTCCTTGAGCTCGACTATCTGGATTGCATTAAAGATATAATATATGCTTAGAAACATCTAATGAACAGCGCATGTCACAAAGTCATGTGTAAATTGCATTTGGGGAACTTGGAATCTATTTCCCCATAGGAAAATTGCATTGTGCTTTTTAAAGGCATGACTAATGAAGAAATAAATGGATAATAAAGTTCCCAGACCAGCACACAAAAGCCGGTCGTTTGTCTTTAACCCATAATGTACTAAAGTCAAATGTTAATATTATTATTTCAGATACATTCGGCTCTGAGCACTAATATTTTTATAGGAAGACACACACGCATGTGTGTGTGTGTGTGTGTGTGTGAGAGTATGTGTGCTAGTAGTGATATAGGGTTTGATCCCAGGGCCTTTCCTCTGAGCAGCATCCCCAGGCCTTTGTTTATTTTTTTATTTTGTGACTGTCTCGCTAAGTTGCCCAGGATGGGCTCAAACCAGGATCATCCTTCCCTCACCTCCCAGAATTCTGAGCTCACAGGTTTGTACCACGTCTTCCAAGTGGAAGCACTGCAGATCCCTGAACGACATGAGGACGTGCACGAGCCTCCGGTGGTGAAGTTTTGGATAGGTACTTTCCCCCCATGAGCTCATTCCATTTTCAGGACAGCCCATTTCTAGAAAGCTTTAAAGACACTGACCCCCAACAGTGAATGATGTTTACTATTAACCTTAAGTTTAAAGATATGTAGGGAACAAGGGGCAGAGCCAGAATTTAACCCAGGTTTATCTCACTTTCTACTAAGCTTCATTACCTTTCTAGGCATATGGAGCAAATATTCTGAACTGAGAGCCACTTATCCCCACTGATCCAGACTGTAATAAGGAGTAAGAGGAAGGAAGAAGACAAGTCCTCTAGATCGAGGGTCTCCACCCTGACTCAGGGTCGGAACACCTAGGGGGTTGCTAACCAAGACTGCAGGCTTCACTTGTCTAGTTGTTAATCCAGGAACTCTGCATGGTGCTCGAAAATCTGCAGCTCCCAGCCACCGCTGCTATTGCTGCTTTGGGACCTCGGTAGGGCTCCCTAGTGAGGAATGGAAACAGCCTATCCTTACCGCTATGACTTTCATAGCAGGTAGCAAGGGAGGAAATTCGCTTAACCCTAAAGAACTGTAATTATGAGTAGGCCCTTCAGGGAGCTCAAGGTGAGTTTAGCAGCACAGGGAGGCAACATGGAGGGAAGCAAAGGTCCGAAGCTAGGTGCCCTCCATGCATAGAGTCCAGTTTCTCCAAAGGGGGAAAAGAATCCAAATAACATGGAAAATCAGCAGGGGATGTTTAGTTTTGCAGGCAGAAGAAATAATGATCCATGGCGGGAGCATGACAACTCCAAAACAATTAAACTTCCCCCATCTTCCTCCAGGGCCCACCAAGAAGCATAATCAGTCAACATACAAGCATTCAATTCTTGCATGGTTCCCAGAAAGGAGTACAGAAATCCTGGGAGCCTGTCCCAGTGACATCTCACTGATGCATTTCTTTTCTTTCTTTCTTTCTTTTTTTTTTTTCTTTCTTTTTTTTTTTTTTTTGGCAGAGCCAGGGATTGAACTCAAGCCTTTGTGCTTGCCAGGCAAGCACTTATTCTACTGAGCCATCTCCCCGGCCCCTGTGATGCGCTTCTTGAAGAAGAAAGCATGCCTGAAGGGAAATCCTCAAGTGAGGCTACTCAATTTTACTCGTTTGAGGTGTATTTTTTATCTTTCAAAAATATCCATTTGGAGACGGAGCGTGGTGGTGCACACCTGTAATCCCAGCTCTTGGGAGGCTATAAACAGGTGGATTACTACAATTCTGATCTTGTAGTGAGACTGTTGTAGGCAGCTGAATTAGATAGAAATATTATGGCAGTCAGACAGGGTCAGTCCCTCAAGGAGACAAGATGGAAGACAAGGTGATTTTACAACTTGGAAGAGACACTTCTGTAAACAGATACTCCTGTATGGACCACACCTTAAGACCAAGGCAAAAGAGGAAACACAGCTACATACTTCCCTAGGGATGGGCATCAGGGATTGATATTCTACATAGGTATCAATCACCTTGAAAGAGCCCAAATGAGTTACTAGCCCAGCCCCCAACAGGAAGAGACCCTGTCCCAAATTCATGTCCACTTGCTACGTGACTTGCTTCTCCATTTGGTCCTGGATTTAATCAATTTTACCTAAGCAATGGTGCTTGTAATCTCACTGGTTGACCATAGCTTTGTCCCACCTCATGCCCACCTAAGCAAGTTCCCCTGTCTTCTCCACCACCTTAGACCCGCCTCACCGCATGGTTTTCCTCTATAAAAATCCCTGGAAGAGACAGCTTCCCTGGGGAACTACCTGCTCAGGCCCCCCTCCTCTCCCTCTCTCAGACAGGAGCTTTCTTTCCCTCAATAAATATATTCTGCTCATAACCTCCGTTTGCTACTGAAATTCATTCTTTGGTTTTAGAGAACATGAACTCGTCCCAGGTACCTTTGTGTCGTTTGGTGGTTTCTCTGTATCAAGACCCTGAATACCCTGTAGACCCTTCCCTAAAATACAAAAATAAAATAAAAAATAAAAATAAAGGGGCCGGGGAGATGGCTCAGTAGAATAAGCACTTCCCTGCTAAGCGCAAGGGCCTGAGTTCAATCCCCGGATCTGCCAAAAAATAAATAAATAATAAAAATATCCATTTGAATTCTATACTATCCTATGATTTTTTTTAAATAGCAAAGTTTTATTAAAAGTAGGAAATGAAAAAGTCTCAGCAGAGCAAGTTTGCACCAAGTAAAAGCAGGAAAAAAAATCCCCTACAGTGTGAGGGTCCCCCCCCATGGAAGGGGGGAAAGATGAGGGAGAGAAGGGTGAGAGAGTCAAGGGTGAGGGAGACAGAAGAAGGGAGGGAGAGAGCAAGGGAGAGAAGGGAACTGGGTAGGAAGGGAATGAAAGAGAGAAAGAGAGAGAGCACACAGTGGCCCATCCTATGATTTTTAAACAAAGAACATGAAACATAGTTTAGATCTAACTTAGGCTGAGAGTACAGCCAGTGGCAGAATACTTCTCTGGCATCCATGAGGCCCTGAGTTTATTTCCCAACACTGCAAAGAAAGAAAGTGAGAAAAAATCTTCCCTTACTAATTCTAAGCAGTGATAGTGAACCCTTTAGAAACCAATGCCCAAACAACAACCTAAGCCCCACCTATCACAAAATGTCAACACAACAATTAAACCTGAATACTGAGGCTTTAGTTTTTCCTAAACTCAGCCGCTGGGGTGACAGCGCATGCGCATGCCTGCCGCAGCACATGTGCTCAGGTTCTCCGCCATTGCTCTAGGCCAACATTATGGATATCTAGAATATTAAGGAATGACCACAGGACACTGAAGGGGTATGTTGCTGTTTGTCCCTACATTAGAAGGGTTCAAGTCTCCATTTAATGTGGTTTTTTTTTTTCTATTCTTTATCAATTGTTTCTGCCTTCTGCCTTCATCAATCCCAACTTTTTTTTTTTTTTTATTTCCAGTCCTTACACTGAGCTACATCCCCACATCTTCTTCTGTTTTTTTATTCTGAGACAGGGTCTGGCCAGGTCATTCAGTTGCCCAGGCTGGGCTCAAATTTACGATTCTCCTGCCTCAGCTTCCTGGGAGCACTGACATTAGAGACATGAGCCATCCCACCCAATCCTGCTCCAATTGCTGACAGCTCCACCTCTTGTTTTTTTCATGCCCTCTCTGCTATGGATTAGAAAAATTCTATGATTTGGAAGACCCAAGCCTAAAGGAAAACAACGTCATCTTTTGCTGGGACCATGTTGACAGCTAAGAAACTCTCTCAACTTTTTTTTTTTTCTCCTGCTAGACTTTCTTTCTTGCTTTTTTCCCCCCACCCCCCGGAACTGGGGATTGAACTCGTGCCCTTGTGCTTGCCAAGGAAGTGCCTATTCTATTGAGCCATCTCCCTTGCCCTCTTTTTTTTTTTTTTAATTTTTTTTTAATGTATTTAGTACAGGGTGTTCAGGGTCTCACTACTAGATCAGACTCATAGTGATCCTCCTGTTTTCAGCCTCCCAAATCATGGGATTACAGGGGTGCGCCACCACGCCCAGTCTCGATTGCAGTCTCAGCACGCTCCGGGGGTGGGGCCAGTCCCGCCCACTAGAGATCCAACCCTGTCCCTGAGTCTGCCTAAACCGGCACTTTAATCAGCTGAGCTATCTGGTCTGCCCGGACCTACTTTCACCTTTTGAAATTGTCCAAGTAATTAGCATAAGATCACATGCCCTAAAGGATCAGATTTCCTGCCCCCAAATGTGGGTCCCTTGTCTAGTAAACGAGTAAAGGTTAGGTAAATGCACAGAAATTGCTGTGCATTCCTGGCGAGCAGGGACTACGTAGATGTTTTCATTTTTTACCTCCTATAATCCTCATATTCTGAACTGAGTAGTAGAGAGCAAATGGACCCACTTCCACAAGCTCTTATTTCCTCATCGTATCACCAGGATTCAGGTAAGACCAATGTGCTTTCCATTTTATTTGCAGCTTGGATGCCGCTGAGAGCAAGCTGAATCCTGATGCGCAAGGAAAGAGGGCAATTCACAGTTTAAAAAAGACAGACCCGGTTGGAGACCTAGACGTCCGTTGGCACGCTAAGGGTTCTAGGCTGTAGGCAGCGCGAGGACCCGCAACCCCACCCCAGGCCGGCAGGTACCAGAGGTGACAGGCCGTCCGGGGCGTGGGGGGGGTAGGGGGGGTAGGGGAAACATGTTGTGACCAGTGGCCCAGGGGATGTTACGGTGGACAGTCCATCTGGAGGGAGGGCCACGCAGGGTGAACCATGCTGCAGTGGCTGTTGGGCACCAGGTGTACTCCTTTGGGGGTTACTGCTCTGGTGAAAACTATGAGACACCTCGACAGATAGATGTTCACATTTTCAATGCAGTATCCTTGCATTGGACAAAGCTGCCCCCGGTGAGGCCAGCCATCCGAGGGCAGGCTCCTGTGGTTCCCTACATGCGGTATGGACACTCAGCTGTCCTCATTGATGACACAGTCTTCCTTTGGGGAGGGCAGAATGACACTAAAGGAGCCTGCAATGTGCTCTACACATTTGATTTCAGTACTGACAAATGGTCCACACCCCAAGTGTCAGGAGCAATTCCTGGAGCCCAGGATGGACATTCTGCATGTGTCCTTGGCAAGATTATGTACATTTTGGGGGGCTATGAGCAGCTGGCAGATTGCTTTTCCAATGACATTCCCAAGCTAGATACCAGCACCATGACATGGACCCTTGTTTGTACAAAGGGTAACCCTACACGCTGGAGGGACTTCCACTCCGCCACCATGCTGGGCAATCACATGTATGTCTTTGGGGGGCCGTGCTGACCGCTTTGGGGCATTCCACTCCAACAATGAGATTTACTTCAATCGCAATTGTGTCTTTGACACCAGAACTGAAGCCTGGCTGGACTGTCCTCCTACACCAGTGCTACCTGAGGGGCGCCGGAGCCACTCAGCCTTTGACTACGATGGGGAGCTGTACATCTTTGGTGGCTATCCTCTATCCTCTCTGAGCTGCTGCTGCACCCAGAAGCACAACCAGCTTAGATTTTATAAAAATGAAATGAAACCTGAAAAAATAAAAAATAAAAGAACAAAAAAGATAGACCCGTTAGCAAACACAGGGGCACCACCAGCCCATACTTGCCCAGGGGCGAGACTGCACTTCTTCCTGCTTCATGGGAACATCCTTCAAATCACTTCCTATCCAGTCTTCCTACTGGCCAAAACAAATCAGGAAAAAGTGTGGAGGATGAGCCCATGCACCTTGGCTTCTCTTACTTGGAAGCCCCATTTGGTAGTATCCCATGAGTATCCTTCCACTAAGGGAGGGGAAAATTGCAGGGAATTGAAAGGCCATAGACATCATGCTGGAGAAGGTAGGCATTCAACAGAATGGATAAATTACACCTCACCCTAGTCCACTGGCTCTCAACCAGGATCCACCTTGACACCTGGGGAGGTTTTGAGTTGTCACAGTGTGGGGGCACCACTGACATGCAGCTGATAGAGTCCAGGGCTGCTGTTAGACATGTGACAATGTGCAAGTCACTCAGCCTTCTCCACAGCAAGGAATGTGCAGTCTTGCCTAACATGGGGCACACGTGCTTATCACCCCAGCTATTCAGAAGGCTAAGGCAGACGCAGGGCCCGGAGGTTCAATCCCCCGAGCCTGCCATGCCGGCCCAGCCCCCAAGGCACGATGAGACTACAATTGAGACTGGGCTTGGTGGCACACCTGTAATCCCAGCTCTTGGAAGGCTGGAAACAGGCAGATCACTAAGAGTCCGACCTGGTAGTGAGACCCTGAACACCCTGTAGACTCTTCCCTAAAATACAAAAAAAAAAAAAAAAGGCTAAGACAGGAGGACCACACGTTCAAGGACACACTGGGTAATTTAGCAAAACCCTGACTCAAAAGGGGGGTGGTATGTAGCTCACCTCCAGAGTGTGAGGTCCTGGATTTTCTCCTCAGTACTGTGAAGAAGAATGTCAGTAGTGCTACAGTTATGAAATTTGGTCCCAGCTCACAGGCACAAGTAAAGGAGGGAGTGGATGATGGCTCCTGCAGGTGTGTGCTGTCTCTCTCCACAACCACTGGCAGAAGGAAGGTGATGGAATTATAACCACTGGCACAGGGTCTATGCCCAGGCTGCCCACGTGAGACTCTAGAGGTCACGCTGGTTCTGCCGGCTGTGGAGCCCTACTGTCTCCTGCAGCCCAGAAGACCTGAAGAACCACCGATGCTGCCGACAGGTCCTGAACCAACACAGCCTTCTGGTTTGCTCTCTGGCATTCTCTCTGATCACAAAGGAAATGTGGAGCAAAGACCAGAGTACACCAGGATCTGCAAGAAAAGCTCCTCCCCCTGCAGCCTCCACAGCCCATGTTGGCAAATGTTCTCACAATCCTTTTGTTCCTAAAATTACAGGACCTCACTGTGTGATGCGGAATGTCCAGAGCCCCAGAATGGACACTGCCTGGCATCTAACTGTAGAATCTCAACCCTCCTCAGACCTCCTGACCCAAAAAAAATCTGCATTTGAACAGGCTCCCCCAAGAGATTTGTATGCACGTTAATGTTGGAGAAGCACTGCTGTAGGGTTTCCAAAAAGGCAAAATAAAACTGTAAAGGGAACAGCTGCAAAACAGATGCAAAGCCAATCACGTGGCCTAACATACAACTTCTTCGGGGGATTTATGGCCCTCCGTGGACAGTAGCTTATAGAAAACAGAATTGGAAGGAATACATTTTTAAAAAAGAAAAAAAGAAACAGCAAATGCCACGTTATAACCTTTTAATTACCGTAAAGGGATCCGTCTTGGGATAAAAGAAATATAGCTCCTAGTACTTGAACACTACCCAACTACAGCTCCCGTTTTTGTGTATTTTCTTTTCAATAAAGAACAAAGAAAGTATTCTGATCTGTATTCTGAAATACAGAGGGATTTTGATCACTCTTTTCAAACAGCATGTTGTAATACCCAGATTTTATAATTAGAAATAAAGTCAATATGATGTTTATAAATAACCCAGAAAACAGGTTTGAGAAGAATGGCTCTGGTTCAAGTTCAGATCCACTCTCTGGCTACTCAGCTTGGCTTGATTTCACTCACTCAGCAAACACTGGGCTTCAGACTGGCAAAGATTTTCAAGAGGGCGGTGGTGACGCTGCCTGAGTTTAAGTGCTGCAGGCGGAAAGGTGGCGGGGAGGAGTCTAGGGTGCTCTAGGTGCCCGGTGATGCACCCCTGTAATCCCAGCACTGCAGGGGGCTGAGGCAGGAGCACCGAAAATTCGAGCCCAGCCTGAGCAATTCAGTGATTTAACGAGACCCTGTCTCAAAATTAAAAATTGAAGGATTGAGGATTTGGCTCGGAGAGAAGGTTCTGGTTCAACCCCAAGTACCATACAGGGAGAAGAAAAAGAAGGGCTCACTGGGAGTGAGTTCTGGACTCCAGCCGCACGGGTACTTAATTCTGGACCGTGACTGTACAGCGTACCACTCCAACTTGACGCTCCGGGGCAACTCTGCCCGGCGAAGGTTCCCAGAGGTCGTCGCCCAGCAGTCCCCCAGCCCTGGCCCCCTGAGATGACGGAGTCCCCAGGCGTCTGAAGGCTCCGGAGCGCGTTCCCGGAACGGCCGCTGGGGGCCGCCCTCGGTTCCCGCGCCGGCGAGAAGAAGCAGTCTGAGCAGGTTCGCAGCTGGCTGGGCTCAGCCCGGAACCTGAGTTCCTCCTCCGCGCCCACGCACTCGGTCTGGGGCGCTCGGCACCGCCCGCTTGAGATCAGACCAGCCCGGAAGTTGGGGTGCCCTAGGCCCCCGAACACCCGGCTAGGCCGGGCCCTGACGCCCTCCGTGGCCTCCACGCACGCAGAGGTTGGGGCGCGCTGACACGTGTGTCCTCCACCCCCACCCCACTCCCAAGCGCGTCGCTGAAATTCTGGTCCAGCTCGCAGACCTCGTTTGGAGAAAGCAAATCCAAACCTAAATCCGGCCCTAAAGTCCAGGGATGCAGTCATACTACTTCCTTCGTAGCGGGGCCACCTGCCTTGCCCAACGGGGAGAGCTCCTGTTGACACTGCAAGAGCCCATTAGGGAGAAATCAATGGAGGTAAAATGAAGCAGGGGCTGAGAAGCTGCTCCGCCAAGAGGACTTTCTGGGGCCGCAGAACTTGTAAGGTCACTGCACGTTTTTAGTTCAGGGTTGAGGACTCAGCGTCACGGCAAAGCAAGCCAGAGATAGCTGCTCCTGCAACGTCCCAGTCCTGCCCGGGGCAAGGGACCTGGCCCTGTGCTAGAGACGGGAAATGAGCCAACATTCGCGAACTCCAGGCACTGTCCTTGGTAACGGGTGTTCACTTGTGGGGTGAGCTAACCGCTGGGGGAGGGGGGACGGATACAAGCATCTCCCTGGCTGGTAACCAAGGGGCAGAACCTTGCTCCTGTTCGATTTGTAAGTACGAAGTACAGTTTCATTGTCCAAACATGAAAAAATATAGAAAACAGACAATTGAAGTCTCCTGCCTCACTTGTCCCCCAGTGTCCTTGCCCCTCCCCCAGCTTCTGTCTCCCTTGCCACAGGCATAGGTCACCCCCGCCATTGCTTCTGGCTGTGCACTTTTTCGCATTTCTTTGGGCCTATGACAGTTAACAGCGTGCACATTCTTTTCCCTCCGTACTAAGCACTCTTCCTTTCCCCCTCACCCCACTTTCCATAGATCAGCACATCTGCATCCTCATTCCTGCCCTTAACAAGTACGCACAACTTAATGCAAACAGCCCACTCTGAGCAGACTTCGGATTGTTGCCCGCCTTTTGCAGCCCTGAAGAACACTGCGACGAGGCCCCCTGTACCTCCTCACTGGGTACAAGCCAGAGCCGGGAGCCTGCATCAGACCTGCTCTAGTTTATGTCCCTGCCCCCCAGAGCTGACTTAGGACTGATTAGATGCCAGCTCGGCTAGATAAACGCTCCTATCTCTGGCCCATCCCCCACTTCCTGGCTCCCTACTTCGTCTTTTCTCTTTGTGAAGCCTATTCCTACTTGAAACAGCCACAGAGCCTGTGGACAGAGAGTTCTGGCCGTTTTATCTCCTTCTGTGGTTGCTTCATTTCATTTTTTAAATGCCAAATGTGACTCCAGCTGAACGGTGCTGGAGACAACATCTGCAGATGCTGTTCTGCACAAACATGGTATTTCTGCCCCTGGTTGGATCACAGCGCCTCATCCATGTACGGGGAGGTCCAAATGCTGCTGCAGGGGTGCAGAGTAGGTTAGAAATGGAAGAAAGACCAGAGGTGGCTTGCCAATAAGGAAGTCAGCATCCATGTTCATTTCTAGCCATGGACCTGAAAGGGACATTAAATAAATATAGACGCATTGGGCAAGCCCAAGGGAGTCCACCTTCTGGAAAAGATACAGCCATTGGCCAAATTTTCATCCTTATCTGTAGGCATCGATTATCTCCTATGCTTAGATTCTCAGATCCATCTTTCAAAATAACTTCTTTTTACTCTCTGTGCAGGATTCAGGCCGGGCGTGGTGATACATGCCTGCAATCCTAGTTACTTAAACTGAGGCAGGAGGACTGCAAGTTGGAGGCAGAGTCGGACAATTCACCAAGATCCTGTCTCAAAATTTACCAAGATCCTGTCTCCTGTCTCAGAAATCTGAAATACTGAGAATGTAGCTTAGCACTGAAGCGCTTGCCTAGCATCAGTGAGGCCTTGGGTTCAATCCCAGGACCTCCAAACAAAAATAAATGAACAAAACAGGATTCAACAGAGGGCTGAAACCATCCCGGGCATCAGAAAGTGAAGTAGTTCATTGTTAGTCCTGTGATTCTGACTGCTCTCTGCACGATTGACTGAAAGATCAGTTCTTTGTTTTGGAGACTTACTGTAGAGTGACCTGTTTTTTTTTTTGTTTGTTTGTTTTGTTTTGTTTTTGTTGTTGTTGTTGTTTTTTGGGGGGGAGGTTGATGTTGTTTTGGTGGGGGGTTAAGACAGGATCTCATTATGTTGCCCAGGCTGGCCTTGAACTTAGGGCCATCCTCCAGCCTCGGCCTCCCAAGAGCTGGAGTTACAGACATGCACCACCACACCTGATATGACTTGTTCTAAAGTGCTTACTGCACATCCGTCACCATGTTGATGAACAACATGAGGCCCAGGCCCTCCTTCTAAAAGCAAACTCAGGCTCACACCAGACACTTTCCGAGCAAAGCCCAAGAGATGGATTCACAGTGCTGTGAGCTGCAATGTATGTAGGGAACTGTGCCCAAGTGTCCCTGAGCAGAGTGGCGAGAGAGGAGAGGCAGGCGGCTCCGGAAGGCGCCCCCAGGAGGATGGAGCAAGGGCCCAGAAGGGAAATCCACATCCTCAGCCGGTCCTCTGATCTGGGCATAGCTGGACTGGCCTTCCGGGCCAAGCTCACCGGATCCTCACCAGCTGTCTTGGCAGAGTCGCAGACAGGACCCAGCCTTTCCGTCGTTTATCTCTGCCGCAAGACCCTGCTCTGCTAATCACAAGGAAGGTCTGTGCTTGCCTTTTTCAAGCGACCAGCAGCCTCATGCAGTGCCTGAATCTTTCTTTCCTCCCAGCTGCAAACTGGGAAAAGACACGGCAGTGATCCTTTAGAAACAGTTTCGGGATTAGTTGCTCTGCTGGATGAGCTGGGAATAATTGTCCCTGCTGGCTGTATGGTGAACACTTGTGATCCCAACACTTGAGAGACCAAAGGCAGGAAGATCACGGGTTCAAGACCAGCCTGGGCTACCAAATGAGAACAGCTCTAAAACTGAGCCAGGTGCCGCTGCATTCATCTGTAATCCCAGTGCTCTAGGAGGCTGATAGGAAGATAACAATTTAATGACTCAGTGAGAACTGTATCAAATAAATAAATAAATAAAATAAAAGAAGACTGAGGATATGGATCAATGCTCACAACAGATAGGAGTTACCATCCCATAAATAGCTGATATTTTTGGGCCAGGCAGATAGCTCAGCGGACTAAAGCACCTGCTTAGGCAGGCACAGGGACCAGGGTTCAATCTTTGGCGTACTGTGCCAGCCCCACCCCCAGAGCTTGATAAAACAGCGACTGAGACTGGGTGTGGTGGCATGCGCCTGTAATCCCAGCACTTAGGAGACTGAAAACAGGAAGATCACTACAAGTCCAATCTATTTTTTTTTTGGGGGGGGGGGAGTGTCTACAGGGTGTTCAGGATCTCACTACTAGATCAGACTTGTAGTGATCTGCCTGTTTACAGCCTCCCAAGAGCTGGGCTTACAGGTGTGTGCCACCATGCCCAGTCTCACAAGTCCAATCTATGTAGTAAGACTGTGTAGACCCCGTACTAAAAACAAAACAAAATAGCTGATATTTTTATTAAAAACTATTCTATTCTCAATGAATCTAAAATAGAAGACCTAATGACATGTTTCAAGAGAAAGAGAAAGCAACTGCATCATATTTTTTTCAAATAACCCAAGAGAAACATATGGACTGTGTTTCCTTTTGTGCAGTGTGATCAAAAAGTATGGGGAATGTTAAGCTTTTTTAAAGAAGTTGTTACAGTAAAAGACATACTGCATTTAATCACTCTCTATATATTCTCCCTCACACTAATCACTCTTGCCAACTTCCACAGCAGATCTAGAAGTCTTCTTCTGTGAGGGTCTTTAGTCATGCTGCTGTGGCTGCCTCAATGTCCTGAATCAAGTCTTTGTGACTTTGGAGAACAGTGTCAGACCCAGGGAATAAGGCAAGGACGTGCTGATGTTTTTGTAGGCCTGCATTCGCGTTGGATGGCACAAAGCAGCAGCAGCAGCATTCACTGTGTTTTGTATCATACTTCCTAAAGACCCTCACAAAAGAGGACTCCAGAAGTGCCTTAGAGACTTCAAGAATTATGGGACAAGTGTGTTAGAAGCAAGGGGCATATCTTGCAGGGGATGGATGCTAATGTACCCTTTAATGTAATACTTTTTTGTTTTTTAATGTAGATATTCATTGCATATTTTGACCAGCCTTTGTAGTTGTTTTAAGACAGTGCCGGCACCAAGCCCACGAGCTCCTCACACAGGCTGGGTACTTGCTTTGCCACTGAGCTACACCCGGCCTCTTGAGTTCCACATTTTTTGAAGAAGGTTGTAAATATAAGGAAATACATGAACTCAGCCTAAGCACCAGTTAAAGGCATATTTCCTATTCTGGAGTCTGCCCTCTCAGGGCTCCCTGCCTCACCCCCTCTTCCATGAAGTCATCAGAGAAGACAAGAGATTCCTGGGCTCTGAGCTGCCGACCAATTTTAGCCCTAGGTGTTAGGGTCATGTGGAAGTGGCAGGTTTTTGAAATGCTGATGTGCTGACACTTAAGCACAGCACTGGATCCTGTTATAGCTCAGAGCAAGCATATAAAGAACTTGGCCCTAGGTGAGATTTCAAGAAAAAAAATGAAACCATGCCCAGCATGAGACAAGTGGGATGCCTTGGGGATGGAGGTTGGGGCTTGACATAGCTCAGCCTGGTCCTCCGGGGCTGGGTGACACTGGGCCTGCATGAAAAATGGACTGTCACTGACTAGCCCTCCTCCCTGCTCGCAAGTAGAATGAAGGGAGTCACATCTCTGAAGTGCTGCTGGGAGGCTCTGAATGGCCCTTGCTCTGTGTGCAAAGCATACCACCTTTGAATTTGAGATGTCCCAATTGGCCCTTGCAACAGTGGCCCCTGCAACCGTGGCCCTGGCTACTGTGGGAAATATAACTCCCTCCACTCTTGGGTGTCCTTGGGGATTGGCCTAAGACCTCTTTCCGGGCTCTTCAGCAGGGGTCTGCCCTTGTAGAAGAAGCAATTCTCCTCCCGAGCTCCTAGGCCAAGCCATGTTGGTCA